TGTGACTTTATGCAAAACGATGTTAAGCGAATCCAATTTTCCCATAAGAATTAATGTAAATAGGGGGCATTAGGTTCCGGGGAAATGTTTTTTGCCAGACGAAAGACATTATATACATATACAGTCTAAGTTTTAAACAATTTTAAACAAACAGTTTAATATTGTACACAGCAATGACTCATTGTGGAGCTTGGTTGAGGTGGTGGAGTCAGAGGGTGGGATATTTCCCAGGGAATGCCTTGCTGCTAAATGATGAACTAGCACTCGGCTGAGCCCTCAAGGGTTAATATGCTGTTGTTAATGTAGCCTCACCCTCTACAAGGCAGCAGGGACTGAGGCAGGAGGGAGGAAACACAATAGATGCAGGAGGGCAGTAGCTGCAAACACTTCCCTACAAAAACTGAACATGATGATGAGCCCACGCTCTCCAGCGGGAGCGAGTGCACCACTCCCTCCTCCTGACAGCACATGCACGGCTGCACGGGTGCTGACTTTCCAATGTGCTGGGGGGTGCGTGCATGTGTGAGAGAGAGAGACGTGCATTGCCTCTTTAATTACGCTGACCCCACTTCAAGTACATTGCCCTTTTAAGCAGATCAGCCAGTTCAGACAAGAAGCAACAGCTTCCAGCAAGCTCCCTCCTTTCTGTCCCTGAGCCCTGTCCCCTCCTCTGCTTTGTGGAGAGGGGGTATGGGGTGGGGGGAGGGCAGGAGCAAAGGGACATCCTGATATCAGCACCCCTCTCCCCTCCTCCCCCAGCAAGCAGGAAGCTCCCGGGAGAATAGGTCAATCAATGGCTATTACCCAGGATGGACAGGGATGGTGTCCCTAGCCTCTGTTTGCCAGAACTGAGAATGGCTCCAGCAAAAAGAGAGGAGACTTTGGTGATCTGGAACGAGAGCCCAGCTCTGGGGCAGTGGAGTTAGGACAGGACATGTTATTTCCCCTTGTGTGCCTCAGTTTCCCCACCCAATCCTCCAGGCCTCTCTGGGAGTGAGACGGTGAATTTGCTCTCACCCCAGCAGGCAGGGCCGGCTTTAGGCCGATTCAGCCGATTCGGCTGAATTGGGCCCCGCGCCAAGAGGGCCCCGCGCCACAGCTCTCCACCCCGCCCCCCAGCTCACTTCCCCCCTCCTCCCCCTCCCC